TTAATACAATTTAGGTTGTTTTAAACAAGTGAATCTTGGTAAAAGTTACATGCTGTGGCCGTGCTGGAGCATTTCCTGAGCATTAACTCGGTGAGTGAACAGCAATATGAAAGCGGCTTCACGAGACTAATGATGAGCAAATATACAACAGAGAGAGAATTCAATTCAGCGCTTTTATTTCCAACATGCGCTCATTCATGGCTGTATTATTTAACTCATGCAAAGTTACGTCTTTATTGGGAGAGGATCTTGACGGATTATCTACGTGACTCTGACTTCACGAGACTAACGATGAGCATAGACAACAGAGAGAGAATTCAGTTCAGCGCTTTTATTTCCAACATGCGCTCATTCATGGCTACATATTATTTAATTAGGAAAAGTTACGTCTTTGTTGGGACAGGACTTGACGGATTATCTTACATGACTCCGTGAGTTGGTCTCTATTTCTTAGCCAAGTTGCATAAACTAAATTATCAGGCATTTATATAATGCATCTAAATTGTGCATAAATGGCTGTTATGTTAAATAAAGTTTACTAACTATAGCAACTATATCAAGTACCTGCACGCCGTTGTTGTTGTCTCGTCTCCCCTCAGACGCGCTGCAATGACGATCCTGCGCGCAATTCTCAAAATGCCCACAAGATGGCGGCGTTTATTGGTGAATCCGATATTACAAAACTGATATCCGATTATGGTAAAATGCTTAAATATCGGGAAAAATATCGGTAAATCGATATATCGGTCGATCTCTAGTTATAAGTACACTGTAAAGTGGTTTGTTTTGGGGTCTTCAAGATAGCTGTAGCAGAATACGCCCAAGAAATTCCACATTTCATCAACAATAATTTTACATTTTATCCAGGGATTCATCTTTTAGTTAGCCGATTTACTTTTTTTAATGATTTATTTAAATAAGACTTTCAACATCTCACAAACCTCCTGCATTTCCTTCATTAAGCCCTTTTTGGAAACCCTGGTCTAGACAATATAAACAAAAATATGTCATTAAAATCAAGTTAGTTGTTATTATTATTATAATTATCATTATTGTATAATATGTAATTAATAATACAGTTAATATGCATTTTAAATGAGCATGAAAAAACTCAATTGTAGTAAATTGACAGTTGGCTGAAATGGCTGTGTGGTCTTTGTGAAGATTTATTTTTTTAATAACGATGTGTTACTTTCTTTCTTTAATGGCTGATGTCAGCATAATACTAGTAGATATGATGCAAACATTATTGCTTGATTAAAAGAACTTACAAGTATTTGAAAACACAAAATGTGCATCCTTTGTCAAGGCTGTCTGGGCCACTTTTGCTAACCAGCCAATCAGACGCTGATATTGGCCAATGCAGAAAGTATCACAATATAGTGCTGCAGTGATGATGTATTTTTGTAGGCCAACTCGGAAGTTAGAGTCACCCTGCTTCCCTCAACAAAAATCCAATAGGAATTTCACTGGATTCTTGGATTATTGCAGAAAATAAGCTCCATGACCAACAAAAATTCTCACATGACTATCACATCATGTTTTGTTCATTGTGATAATCTTCACAAATGAACACATTTACTGATGTATTTCATGTCGTAGAATAAAACATGAAAATATCTTGAGCTTGTGTCAAACAAAGACCTTATTTTAGGCATTTAAACGAAAAATCCATTAAAAAAACCCAACCGAAGGTGCTAAAATGCAGATTTGGGAAAGAAATCAATCAAATCTGTATGTGTGTGAAAGTATTCAGATGTAACCCTTTTTGCAATTGTTAACATTTTTGTAAGTAACTAATTTAATTACACATTTTTTCCCCAGTAACTGTAATGGATTACAGTTACATTTATTTTGTAATTAAATTACATCATTCCATTACATGTAACTAGTTACTCCCCAACACTGATTATTAATCATGAAAATCATGGTTCATAAGGCTTAGCATAGAATCACCTATTTGCATTCGCCAGAGAGTGATAAGTACAGTGAATGTTATCATTTTCACATAAATATTAATCATGAAAATCATGGTTCATAAGGCTTAGCATAGAATCACCTATTTGCATTTGCCAGAGAGTGATAAGTACAGTGAATGTTATCATTTTCACATAAAATCTTTTTCACTGTCTCTCTCAGTGGTGAAGCAGAGGATGCAGATGTATAACTCCCCATACCGCAGCCTGTATGACTGCGTCCTGACGGTCAGTCGCAAGGAAGGCCTGGCCGCCTTCTACCGCAGCTACAGCACTCAACTCACCATGAACATCCCCTTTCAGGCTGTCCACTTCATCACTTACGAATTCATGCAGGAACATTTTAACCCCCAGCGCCAGTACCGGCCCGAGACACACATCCTGTCCGGAGCAGCAGCCGGAGCCGTGTCTGCTGCCATAACCACTCCATTAGACGTGTGCAAGACGCTGCTAAACACGCAGGAGAACATGGTGCTCAGCTCCGCACATGTTAGCGGACATCTCTCCGGCATGGTGAACGCGCTCAGGACAGTGTACCGATTGGGTGGCGTGCCGGCCTTCTTTAAAGGCATCAGAGCGCGGGTGATTTATCAGATGCCATCTACGGCCATAACGACTCCATTAGACGTGTGCAAGACGCTGCTAAACACGCAGGAGAACATGGTGCTCAGCTCCGCACATGTTAGCGGACATCTCTCCGGCATGGTGAACGCGCTCAGGACAGTGTACCGGCTGGCTGACCATGAACATCCCCTTTCAGGCTGTCCACTTCATCACTTACGAATTCATGCAGGAACATTTTAACCCCCAGCGCCAGTACCGGCCCGAGACACACATCCTGTCCGGAGCAGCAGCCGGAGCCGTCTCCGCTGCCATAACCACTCCATTAGACGTGTGCAAGACGCTGCTAAACACGCAGGAGAACATGGTGCTCAGCTCCGCACACGTTAGCGGACATCTCTCCGGCATGGTGAACGCGCTCAGGACAGTGTACCGATTGGGTGGCGTGCCGGCCTTCTTTAAAGGCATCAGAGCGCGGGTGATTTATCAGATGCCATCTACGGCCATCGCCTGGTCCGTGTATGAGTTCTTCAAATACTTTCTGACCCAACAGGAACCACACATCCAGGAGCTGAGGAGAGACGCTCACAAGGCCAGCCCTACATGAGGCCCGCCAGCACTGAATCCGTTCAGCCCATCCAAAGAGTGAGCGTGAGGATCAACGGACAACGGAAGACGCCTTCGGCTCGAAAGGGAATGTAGATGCTCATTTCTTATGCAGTAGACACTCCAGCAGCTTCTGTGCTTGTTGCTAACGTATTAATTTATTGGAAGAGTTTAATGTTGTTACAAGAATGTATGGATGCTGCACACTACAGAACGTTTCTTGTAAACATGATAGAAACAGGAAGGTAAAGCTGTGTCAGTGTTTTGTTTGTATTCTCAGTTACATATTTATGATTGAGCGTGATGGTGTGCGTCTGTATTTATATATGCACACACACACCTTCTGCTCAGTGACACAACAAACCCGTGCGGTAGAACATGTTTTTATTTTATTGGCTTTTCTGGACTTTTTAATATTTTAGGGGTTCAGGAGAGTTTGCTTTTATTACTTAATAATTTTTATTAGTATTTTATAATTTAAGACATTCCTGAATTGTGTTGCTCAAGAATAAGACCAGTTTTTATTATTATTGCCTAATCATCTATGAAAGCTGCCTGAGCTTCAAGCTTTGCATTGTTTTTTTTTCAATTTGGACGCACTGTTGTATCAAGAAAATATTGATGCATATTGATCTCAGTCAGGGAAGATGGCATATTTAATTTGACTTAAATAAAATTGTGGCTGTGAGGAATGGAATTTCAGTAGATTCAATATTAACATCTCAAGTTTTTGAGGTTTTGGCCTCTGGAATTTGTACAACAATGAACAAACGCAGCCTCATTTTTATTCATGTTCAATTAAATTTCATAAACCCTGACAAAAGTTCCAGACTAGATTACTTGTGCCATGAAAACTCCAAATATTTTAAACTTTTTATTTTTCTTAGATGGACTAATCTACTATTGAAATTTGATTTCCAAAGAATTGGATACTAATTTAAAGGGGTCATATGATGCTATTTTAAAGATCATTATTTTGTGTATTTGGTGTAACAGAATATGTTGTAGGAGGTTTCATAGCTGTGACTAATCTATTTCAGTCTGGGAGCAGATTTATTCTGTTTCTGAGCTGTTTGTGAATATGCAGCTGACTCATCCTCTCTGTGAATCTCTAGATTCAGTCGCCCATTCAGAATAAAGCTTGCCTTGTTTTCCGGAAATAGACCTTAGTCAGAGTACATGGCATATTTAAAGGGATAGTCCACACCTAAAAATGTTGCAATGTCCGAAATGTCCGACACACGTCCTCGACACAGCCGGCGCGTGACACGTCTACAATCTCAATTAGGAGTGTCAATGGTCCACTTGAGAGATAGGTGGTAATGCACTTATAATCTGCGATCTGCTGTAAAGCAAGAAGAAGACGCGTCACGCGCCAGCTGTGTCGAGGACGCGTTCGGGACAATTCAGACATTGCGGTGAATCAGAGGTAAAAAACGATATAAATACTGTTCAGTTTCTTGCACAGACTGATTGTTTCGTGTCTTTACACATCAATGTATCGTCACGAGCCGCAGGGTTTAATTTGGTTTTGTTTGTGTATGTTTTTTTTACTCTCAAAGCCGTGATTCCCATTCACCTCCATTATAAGACTGACAGACTGCAACGGTTTGTGTTAAAAATCTTCGTTTGTGTTCTACTGAAGAAACAAAGTCACCTACATCTTGGATGCCCTGGGGGTAAGCCCAACTATCCCTTTAATGGGTGAACTATCCCTTTAATTTGTTACGAATTAAAACAAGGCTGTATGAGACATCGGAAATCCAAAAAAAGATGGCTTTTCAGTGTTTTGTCGTCCAAGCGATTAACAAGCAGATGCAGGTTCGACTAATTGGGCCTCTCACGTTAAATTAAAAATTTGAATTTCTGTAAAGTAAAGCTTAAAGTAAATATATTAATTTTCAAATCATTTACTTGCCTTTATGTGGTTCCAACCCGATTTAACTTTCGTTCTTCTACAAAACACAAATGAAGACGTTTTAATATTCTCATCATTTTGGTCCATCCATTGAAAGTACACGCAACCAAAATGTTCAAGCTTCGAAAAGTTCATAAAGACATCATAAAAGTAATTCATATCTATCAAGTGGTTTAAGCCAAGTCTTCTGAAGAGACGCAAATGCGTTATACAATGAACAGATTTAATTTAGGCTTTGATTCACATATAAACATTGATCAACAAACATACATAGAGTGCATCAAATATGGTAAACAGAAAAAAAAAATGTTTTCATGTGTCAGCCAAGTAGCCTACATAAGCTTCTGTTTACCATAATATTTGATCAGAAGAATTGGAATTGTTTCATATGCATTTATTGTTACGATGTCTTCATAAACTTCTTGAAACTTGACATTTTTAGATGTGTGGATTTTCAATGGATGGACGAAACTATTAAGAGAATATAAAAAATATCTTTACTCTCTTTTGGGTTTGGGTGAGTAAACGATCACACATTTTTGGGTGAACTAAACATTTAAATTGACATTCAGTCCAAAGTAACAGTGTTTGTAAGGCTTTACACAAACAATTCTCTCCTCAGATTTTTTGATTGAGGCCCAATATGTCAGTTTTGTAGTTTTCAAACGAGAAACTAGTTTTCATTACATATGGCACATGCTCTTAAGGTCTTTGATGAATTTGCACTGGAATCACGCACAATAATCACGCGAGTAGAGGAATGGATTTGTAAATAGTGTATAATATTCGTAAGAGTTGTTCGTTTTGACAACTTTGATTTGATTTGATTTGATTTGATCGGACTTTTAGCTCTTGATTGAGAAGATCCGTATGTATCGTATGCAGGACGTCCTGTTAGTGGACCAACAGATGAAACGCACACCAAAAGCATCCTGCAGCCTTAGATATCACCGCGCCAGTGTTTCGTTTGCCTCTTCATGTTAGCATTCATCAAACGTTTGCCAGTGTTCATACTGCATCTTTGCAATCTATGCAGACGACGGGACAGGACGGTGTGTGAGAGGGTTTAGTGCTATCAAACGATTAATCGCATCCAAAATAAAAGTTTTTGATAAATATACACGGTACACACACACACATATTATGTAAACAAATACTTTTATTTTGGATGTGATTAATCATTTGACAGCACTAGTTTCTGGTTTTATATCTGTGTTCTGTTTGGTCTGTGCCTTTCCTGTGTCCTCTCTCACTTCCTGTTCCCTTGGACTTTTGTCCTCGGTCTTCTGTTTATTTCATCTCGGAAGGTTTGGAAGTTCCTAATGCCGGTCCAATGAGACTTTTGTTTATTTGCCTTCTGATTAAATGCGTATTGGTTTAGTACTTGATTTGCTGTGTGTTTCCAGACGACTGTTTTTTCAACTAGAATCTAGCCCTGTTGAAAAAACCAGCATATGCTGGTTAGGTATGTTTTGATGCTGGTTTAAGCTGGTCCTTTGCTG